GCAGCTACTAATTTACTGCGGCTTCAAGCTAGGTAATTAGTCAAGGAGACTGTAATTTACTTGAAGGACGGCGAAATTTTTCTTTTATTAATTCGCAATATATTTGTAAAATATCTTACGGCAGCTGGCTCTGCTCGAATCTGTTTCAAAAGTGTGATGTAAATACCGTCTCACACTGTTTAGTTGCCTCTTGGGGCTTCCCGGTAGGTGATACGACCGAGAGTAAGGAGAAGGAACACCACACGCTTATTTTTCAGATCTTCACCACGAGTGATAGAACTTCGGGGAAGGAGAGAGCACACTCCTACCTGCGCGCGTTAAAAACAAGCGTACGCAAAGTAACTCGAATGAAAAAGATACGACTGGAAGTCTACATACACAGCGGGGACAATTTGGGGCATTATCAAGAGCTGTTTCAGCTGTGTTTAAAGGAGTAGCAAATTCCCAAATTAAACCACCCTATTTACGGCAAAGACAAAGAGCTTCACACAGCAGGAGGATGCACTAAAGAACGGTGTTGTTTTTTTTTTTTCCCCACCTGTTTCCTTTGCAAGGGTTTGAGTATCTCTATCCTTATCTTCCTAGTAATCACATATCTGAAGTAATTCAGCACACGGTTTTGGTGAAACAATAGGAAGAGTGCAAATAATCGATGTGAGATTCGTTATATTTGGATTTTTCAGCAGTAAACTTCCGAGATTCTGATCTTCACTCAGCAGATTCATATTTCAGATGAGTGTGAGAGGAAAACCGAGGAAGATAAAACACCTTAGCTAAGCAAAGTATTTATCACTGGCGTACTCACAGTCCGCATGCTTGGCTACAGCAGGCACCGATTTACATCCAACTCGTACGTGCAATACAACACTGAAATCCAAGAGGCAGTGACTACAGGATCAAAGCTTTATTTTGACTGTAACAAATTATATTCACGGATTATAATCCTTGAGCAAACAGAATATTACAGTAATGAAGACCTTAGCATTACAAATATGTTAAAACAGCTTGCATTTGGGGTGGTATTTAAGGTCAAGTTGTATCTGAACACAACTATTAAAATATTATGAAAATTACCATTATGGAGTAAATAATGTTTTCTTTCAGATGTAACCTCTAAAAGTACATTCCATTTCAAAATTGGTTTTCCTATTTTTCAGTACCAACAAGCTCCAACTGAGCATCTACATCCCTGACCTGCTCTACGTGAATGAAAAAGACAGGAATGAAGAACTATAAGCTCAGGCTAAAATCTGGCTCCTGACTTCCATCAAAACATGACCCTGAGCAAATACAATCAAGAAGACACCACAGTAAGTGTCAAATAATCAGGCATCTAAACCCTCTTATTATTTGATATGTACTCTCAGATGAATTTAATAGGTTTGAGAAAGATTCTGCAGAGTAAGAAATTTTTTATCCTAGGGAAAACTAGCATGCCTTCTGCTGCTGCCCCCACAGCCAGAATAACTGAGAAAGTAAAAAACTCGGGAATGTGATGGTAGAGGTGACAAGATGGGTGAACAGGCTGTGCTCCTGGGTTAGTACTGTGGTTACTCATCTGCGCATAAACCTAAAAAAAGGATGATTAATTATTTATTCTTGTAAGATACTCAAAGATTAACTTACAAACAGGCAAAACCTTTGGTTTTCCTCACTGCTCTTCTCTTCCTTGCTTTCTCCCACCCACCAGAAAAGCATAAGAAGCAACAGGCTCTTAGGACCACTGCAGCTTATGTTTACATACATTTTAACACAAAAGGACGAGCAGCAAGTCAAGAATGCAGAGTAGCAGGTTATGTTCTGAGGGGAAAAAAAAAAAAAACATTTACCCAAGATGGCTAGGAAATTACATAGAAGATATATATAATGTAATATATATGATATACGTATTATAGAAAAGCTTGAGATGAGACAGGAGATAACTACATAGAATCAATCTGTTTGAAGCTGCAGCTTTGACTTGGTGAAGAACACTCATTCAAGATCTCATTTAAAGCTGATATTAAACCCTATTGGTATCAATCCGTTTCGGGGATTTTTAAAAAAAAAAAAAATTTTAAAACACACTTAAGTATAACTAACATTTGCTTTCTCAAATTTTATCTGTAGAAAGGCAAGTGGCAAGCTAGCTCAGCCGCAGTAAAAGCTGTGCACTCACCAAATCTAACAGGGGATACCGTATAATTATGTTCCCTGCCACTGCTTGCTCAGAGGTCTGTGCCAAGTCAGGAAACACTCCCTCCTGCACCTCAGTGGCCCTGCTGTGTGCCTCCCTGCCCCTACTGCTCTGCAGTTTCACAGTCATATGCAATTGCATTTATTTGTATCAGACCACAGGCCAACATGAAGGCTCTTGTCTCTGAGAGCAGTCACCTTTTTTTTTTAAATGTTTCTCTTCAATTTTTCCTTTTCTAGACATGTTCCTATACAGTTTTCCATGCACTAGCTGCCCTAATGCTTCTAAAGCTATGCTGCAGAAAACAAAACAAAACAAAACAAAACAAACTCACAAAAACAGGAAAAGAAGTAATTTCCTTCTTCTAAAAGAAGATAATTTAATTTTATTCTTAATCTCTTTGCCCAATAATGATAACAAAATAATCAGAAACACAGTATCCGAGCAGTTAACTGTGGCACAGAAACTACACTAACACTGCTTACAGGTGCCTCTCCCTTACTCCCAAATCCTCACCCACCCAGCTGCCATGCTCTCATAGTCCACACACTTAGCTTTCCTTCCATGGGAAATGAAAAGCGGCAAGGAGATAGTGAGCATCTGCATTGTGTCCCAGTGTTTAGGCGGAGTCCAAAGAGATAAAAAAGAGATAAAGACCCAGATTATTCACATGTATAAAGTACTTAGGGGCCCAGATTTTAGTTTAAGTGATTTCCCTTTGGATGCTCCTAGTCTTTGTTAGCAACTAACTGCTCATCCATCCCCTCTTTTCGGGCATCATGTGTAATAGCTTTTCCCTCCTTGTCTGCTCAACTGGTTCCAATTATTTGCTTTTTAAATGTGAGCTCTACGATTCTAAGATCAGTACACATTCTTTATCAGATTGAGAACCACATTGTGATTTTACAGAAGAAAATATTACCAAGTTGTCTTTGTGACAGAACACTGAGTAGGTATAAAATTGCAATGGTCTCTATGCCAGTTTTTTTTTAAGCTCTTTGCTTGTAAGATGAAAGCCTAATTTGATATTTTTGTAGTTATATAACAGTTCTAATATTTTGTGACATTTTGTATTGTGACACTATAGATGAAATTGTCATCGGACTGACACCCTTTACTGTTTATTCCTTAATTACAACTGTTAACAACACTGCAGAGAAGCGTGCTAATCTGCCATCACATATTATGAAAACAACGTTATTGTTACAAACACCAACACCCACTCAACAGGATATTTCTAAGATGGCAGTTTCTGCAAAAACTTACCAGTTTAATGGACACCTCAATAGAAAAAGTTTTAAATGAACTCTTAATATTCCCATTGAAAACACACAATTTTATATCACAGCTGAAGTTTCGATTTTATTGTGTCCAATTCTTCATCTAATTTAAATTCAGACAAAACTGTGTGCTTAATTTCATGGAGAACAGTGTCTGCAGATGTTGGTTCTTAAACACTACCCAGACTTCCTATAGTTTTCAGCTGGAAGTTAGTTCTCTAGTTCTGACCAGACATAAACTCCCTACAAACAGCTAATCAGTGAATAACTGATGTTAATTATGTTTAATTAACTAAATGAACACAAGGGTTTTAGTGCACAGATCCAAAGCAGTCAGGACATTCATGAGAAATGTTGCTAAAAAGTACCTCAGTTTCAATAAAAGTCATTAAACATCCCTGCTATTAAACAATACATCTCTCCGTAGCATGGATGCACAGATCAGTTCACTAGTAGCCTCGCAAAACTTGTAATCATTCAGATCCTCAAACACTGGCAGAGGTAAATTTTTTTCTGCTACTTCCAGGTCGGGGTGGAAGTATGTTGTTGCATATGAGATTAAATTTTATCAATATATTGACTCAAGTCCAGGTTCTTAATTTTAAAAAAGATTTTTTTTTTTCTAGGCTGGATGAAATTTCTGCAGGCCAAGTCGCACCCCTGGAAGGATCTTCCACTGAACTGATACTTCAAAAACCACCGCACTAGAGCGGTGAAATTTTCAGATCAAGTTAGCCCACTGTACAATCAAAACTCACTCATACTGCACTTCTGTAAAAGGAAGCTGAGGAGCTGTTCAAAGGCTGAAAATGAAAATATTATCTCCTCAACTTGTATACATTTTTGGTTCTTGGACAGCCACTGCCAGCTTCCTTTCAGTTTGCTTCTTTCAAACTTTTCACACCTAAGCAAAAGCTCTCACTTGTAGATTATGACAGTGTAAAGAAAACAGCATTAAGAGCAGTCTAGAAGTAGCAAAAAACCCTAGAGATTTGTTTACTTTTTCTTGTCTTTACCCACCTATTAGACAGAAAACACAAAGCAGGCAGCAGGAGGTTGGGAAAAGCAGCAGTAGTTACTGGACTGAGGTGCAGAAGCAATGAAAGTGACAATGACAAAATTCAGTGAGAGCAAGATGTGGAAATTCAAGGTGTTCCTTCTACAACTGCTCTCATGAAGGTTTTTACATAGATTCCTGGTGCTAAACCAAGGCTGCTCTGTCTGATGCAAACAACCTGCCTTCCCTGTTAATGGTAAATTCCTCCTTTCTTCCTCATTCAAAGAGGCATGCAGCACAGATGACTGCGGTGAAGAAAGGTAAAGCATGAATCTGTCTTTACTTATGGCACTTACATGTAGGAGCAGAGGATTAAAAATAACCTTAAACTCTTCTCATACTGAAAAAGCAATTGCATTGGTGGGTTTCTACAAATCAGTATTTCTCACTTTTTATCCTAAAAGCCCCTTTGAGGATTGCTTCTCTACTACTGAATAAAAACAAAGAATTGTACACAACATGACAATGGAAGCAAATTATCCAATATAGTCCATTTTCATTTAAATGATTTACATTACAACCTAACGGCAAGATATTCTGTTGCCTGATCTGGATGATCTTGTCTGCTGAAGCCATAAATTACAAACAAAAAACCCCAACAAACTAGAGTTTATTTTTGTGAATCTTCTTCTGGGTAGCTTATGTTCTGTTCTGTAGTTTTCGTTTTCTTAAGACCAATAGGAACTTCTGCTCTTCCTAAAAGAAACTGTTCCCACTTGGGAAGAGATTCTTTTATTGACGCCCAATAGAGAGTCTGAGAAAGACAGAAATAAAAATAAACTTAATTTCAAAAATCTGTGTCAGCCTGTTTAAAAACAATATTAAATCTTGCCTTAGGAGTGAAGCAATTCAGAAAATAACAACATACTTACACATGAAATTTCAAATCTCTTGTATGATACAAAGTACCAGCCTGGAAAGATTTCATTCTGCAGCATGAAGTGTCTCAATGTGCCCTCTTGTGGTAAGCAAGAGATTAATTTAGACCCTCACAGTACCTTTAACAAAATATTTTCCACTATAATAAACTTCTCCAAAAGCAGCTTTTATATTTAAGTACGTATATTAGTGGAATTTAATTTTGAAATGGAAAAAAAATGTTTAGTGTTATAAACGAAAAGTGCTATGTAAATTGGTTATCTTAGAAAAGTTTAGAGTAACACAACTCAAAATATTTGAGTAAAATTTCAGATGAGATAAATTACTGCCGAAGTAATCAGCTCCAGTATCTGGATTACAAATGGGAAAAAAAAAAGCCGTACAGTTTTCCTGTGGTCTAGGAAAACCACTGTGGACTATTTAACCCTTTCTCTGCATGACCCTGTGCCTCTGAGTAATAAATTTAACTTCGGTCTTATCTGTGGAATGCACGTACCATTCATCGTTTTTGTGTTGGTATCCTAAGGATAACATTGTTTGTAGGATTTTGAAGAAAATTAAATGCCATGTATAATTTTCCTCCACACAATACTGTGATCAGAGAGCTGTATTAAGCCAGCACTTTCATCCATCCACGAATGTAAGTGTAAATATTTTTAGATATTGATGTGCGTTCAGAAAAAAGTAATTTTGTAGTGGAAAACATTTATGGTACACGTGTATTGAGACTTTTTTTTCCGTATTGAGACTTGTTTGAGTATATAATGTAGAAGCAGCATACCACAAAACTGAACAACTCCCTGCAGAGTATTAGATTCCTGGCTAATCATTTTGATCCTTCCATGTAACTCAGATATAACTATGGCTCTTGCAGATTTACAAAAATATTTTCTTCAACAGATTTACTCAAAGAATCTTTTTTGACAAGCATATGTGCTGTCACACAAAACTACTCCGACTTAGCAAGCTGGGGATCCATTATAGCCATAACTTTCAAAGTATATTAATACAGACACATAGATGGCTGAGTGAAATATGCTCAGAAGGGTTTTGGAACAAAGCATGCACAAGAATTTTGTACCATGAGAGAAAGTTTTCTTTTTCTGCTATTTATAGCACTCTTCTCTAGAAGCATAAAAAAGGCTGAAATAGGATCTTCTCCTTCAAATAGTAACTCTGTTCTCTCTAAAATTCCACCACTGCTGCAGAATGTAGATATCTCTGCAGCCATAAGCAACTGGTCTGCATTCTCCAATTTGTGCGGGCTTTGGTCTACATGCTGCAAGCAGCCTAACACCCGACACAGGACAGAAGGAGACGCGGCCCAAAACTGATGCAAACAATTCTAGTGGCACCTTGGAAGTCCTTGAGGAGTCTAAAACTGCTTCTGAACACAGTCAAAACAGGCTCAATACTAGTAGCCGTGTATCTTTCTTAGCATCATTCAAGATGTACAGGTATCCAGGAAAAAATGCACTCTTTTGTCTAAAATCTTTAAAAAAAAAAAAATTTAAAAAAAAATCACTGAATGGGCACACTCAGCGCGCATCCTGTCACAGTGATAGCAGTAGGCTATTTACAAAATGCAATGACAGACAAAAACTTTTAACAGGACCAGACCAAGAAGTGACACCTCTCATTTAAGTAACAGCCTAAGCATTGCAACACTTGCCCAGCACGTGTGAAATTGATGTACAATGCACCTCTCTTCACAGGCTCACGGTGCCAAGATCTACACCCTTCCCTTCCTTTGACAGTGCCCCAGCACACAAGCTGGCATGGGACACTACGTGCCTGTGGAAACTGAGCCACCACACAACGAAGAACCCACCAAGCCCTGGTCAAGAAACGCACGTGGGGCTCTGACTCAGTGGCCTTGTGGCTTGCATCAGGAAGAGCTGTGCTCCGATTCATGTTCCCAGGACTGTTTCTGTCCTGATCATTCATTCATCAACTGCTAACACTGATGAAACAGGCTTGGAGACTGAGGAACTGAACTTGTTACGTCGTATCAGGACGATATTTAGCTCTCAGAGCAACTTGCTGTTCAAAATTTTTATCTTTAAATAATGTTTTAGGACACAGGTTAAGAAGTAAAATTTGAGTGTTCCTGCTTTTCCTGTAGCCGTACTTTTCATGAGCTCCCACACAAACATAAAATAACTCTGAGAAGTAACAATTTCTCTGCTCATGCTGATAAACTGTTAACCCTGAAACATAAAGATGACAATCTGTGGCAAACTGAAAATGGGATGACCATATAAACCAAACTAAATAGCTTTGACATAAACACAGTAATCTTCTGATACTCACAATATTAATTTTTATGTTTGACTTGTTTTAAATAGAAGTTTCTATAGATCTGAAAGCTGCTAAATATTTCCACCAGAATGCTCCAGAATCTAGGGACCTTGCCCCAGAATTCAGGTTCAGCTTGCTACACAGTACACAGGCCTTTGGCTATACCAGTCACTGGATTTTAAAATCAATTATTTTCACTTAAAGAACATGCTTCAGGGAGAAAAAAAGCAAAATATTTGGTAAACAGCAAATGAAAAGACAGAGTTCTAGGACTTACTTCTAACTTAACAGTATCAGGATGTGGAAGTAAATAGACTCTTTCTTGCAGCTTTTTTTCTGCTGCTTCTAAATCCTGAAACACAGGGAAAGTACATTTTAAAAACACAGACTGGGAATATTAAAAGGAAAACGAACACTCACATAAAGACATTTAATTAAATGAACTTATTACAGCTAAACAGCGTTTAAATAATAATGCTGAAGTTCAAATCTTTCTGTTTAGTCATTCTGAAATCCAACTTGTAAGACATCCTATAGTTTCTAAGTATCTTTAGTGTACCTTTTTGATAGAAGAATTAATTTCATGACCACATAAGACTTGCTATAAAACATGGTTATTCTTTCTGGACACTAGGGTATATTACAGTTAAATTCTGTTCTGTAAAACTAAGGGGGGGGGGGGGGGAACAGAATGGTTTTTGCTGTGCTGCATGAAGACTGAAGCATGTATTCTAGCTACTGTAACTGTAAAGTAACTAGGCAAATTATGTGCAAGATCTTTACTCCTCAAGACAAAGATGACTTGCTAATATGCATGCATAACATGTGCACAAAAATGTAGAGCTGCAGCAAGCTGTTCACCAGACAAACTTGGATGACAATGCACCTCACACAGCTTTCTTACAAAAAAAAAAAAAAAAAATCAGTATTTGGGTTCCTGCTTGTCCAGTGGATGTGTGCTGGATTCACAAAGGCCTAAATATTTTTTTTTAAAAAAGAGAAAACTAAAAAACAGCAGCAACAAATAAATCAAAACATCCCCCCAAACTAACCGCCCTCCCCCTTTAAAGTTCTGACCCGTTCTTGTGGGCTTAGTTCCATACCCAAACATTGAAGAGATTGAGTGGTGGGCAGATGAAGAGAGACAGAAAGGGACGTGGGAGTGGGGTGTGAAGAAGCCAAAGCTGAACAGAGTGGAGGGGGAAAGAAAGTATAGCAGATGGCAGAGTTGGGAGCAGAGAGCGGGTGTGAAGAGTACAACAGAAAAACTAAATGAGAGAGGAAATTCCCCAAAGGGACTTCCCAAATATTCACCATCACTGCCGCTGAAGAGAAGAGTGAGATTCTGGAGGAGCATCTCCACAAGAGAGACTAAACATGATTACTCGTATTGAACAATAGCCAATCTGAATACATCAATAAGTAAACAGTGCTCGACTCCAGTTTAATTTGAAAAACGTGACTCAAATTCAGCAGAGTATGATTAATAAAACAAAAAAACCCCAGCCTTACTGTTAGCTGGAGTTCAACTTAGTGATATAGATACACTCAGTTCATTCAATTTACGCCGTTCATCTTATTCTATGTCATTAATTCCTTTTACAGCATAATTGTATTCTCTTGTACATAAGTACAAACCAAATCCAAACAAAACTGTTCTCCCTATTCTACAGCAAAGTGCATACCCCTGTAGGAAGTTAAAGGATGTCCGAGAAAGAGCAAACTAAGTCTCAGATTTCTCCAAATCCTCAGAAGTAGCAAGCAGCTCCCCCTTTTCAGGTGAGAAAAGACGAACGTGGAATAAACATAAGGGGTGAATATGGGCAAACGTGGAAGCCATTTGAAGTCACAACGTCAAAATAACAGAGCACAACACAGGCTTAACTAACCTAAGCAAAAAATTTCTCTGTTGCATGTACTTAGAACAGAGAGACCACAAACAGCACCAAATGAAGACCATGTCAGTATGGCTCAGACCAAGTTTGGAGAAGTTATCACCACACTGAAAAGAACGATCAATCACAAGTGTCCACTTCATATTCTTCCATCGGATTTTCCTCCTTTCTGATTCCTTCTTCCTAATGCCTGTAGGAATTTTCACAGGAAGGAAGAATATCAATCGAGATCATTATTTCTTTATATACTCAGCTAAGTCGCTGGAATGTTTATGATGATAGGAAACGAGTGTCTTTCAGGCAAGAAAGGAGACAGCAGTTGTGCATATATGTTTAGTAGAGAAGGTCACTTTGGCATAGCCTAGATATTGGATGTGTCTTTTCGTTGCTCACTCTAGTCTGTATGTTGTGCAGTCTATTGCCGTTCAGAATACTGATTTAATGACAGACAGTGAAAGAAATTTTTGCTGGAAGGTGTAGTATGCTTTAGAAAATAACTGGAACTACTAAAGATTAGATGGCACTTCTTGTGTGTCTATACAGCTGGTAAGCTTTGCAGGAAAAAGAAATCCCTGTCATCAATATAAAAATAAATTCTTCAGCAGTGTAAACTCAGGAAAAAGAACAGCAAATCTAATATGTCACAGTACTGGAAAAAGAGAGCATCTTACAATGCTTCCCCTAAAACCACAAGGACTGGAACAAAAACAATTCAAGACCCTTCCCCAGAGGTAAAATGGAATGCATGACACATGCATCACTTTTAGGGGACCAAATTCAGCTGTCACTTATATTGATATCAGTCTGGCAGACTCCCACTTAAATAATTCTAGAATTACATGCCTCTGAAGGAAAGCAAATTTGGTCTAAATTACCTTCCCAATACTAACTACTATGTAGCGTATTCTTTATTTTTTATTTTATGTAATAAGCTGTTGCACAGTAATACATATTTCTAAACACAAGAAATATTACTGACAAATGCATGTCATAAATTAGATTATAAATACTAGTCTAATCTCTGCTTTTATTACGACATTATATAAGTACTAAATGATACAGATTTCCCTAATCTGCAGCCTCTCTTTAAAGACATCAAGGAAAATACTCTGACAATTATGTTAAAATGCTGAACAAGTGCTTATAATGTTAAAATTTCAATTAAAAAAGCCCAGTTCAGTTCCTTGCTTCCTACTGATTAGAAAATGAATTAATTTTGAAAAGCTTTCCTGTGCATAAATATCAACTAGCACAGAGAAAGAAAAATGTCTTTTGCTATGATCACATACTGAAAACAACTGATTTTGCTTACATGCAGAATACCAGAAATGCAAATAAAAAAATAACACTTCATCATGTCCATGTATTTTTGAGTAGGCCAAATCAACAACTCTCCACATGGTAACTGTGAAATGTACAGTGCCTGGTATCAGGAACAATATTCTGAAGCTGGCACATTAATCAGTCTTGTTTTCAAGCTTCTCATATATTATTCTGCATAGATTTTTTTTTCCTGTTTTCTTCTGTTATCAGAAAGCATCTGCAGGAGTGCATGCCTGTTAAAACTAGTATAAAATTAATAGATTTAAACTGATTTATGCTACTTTATCCTGCAACAGAATTTGTTTTGATACATATGTTTTTGCTTTTTTTCCATACAAACACCAACATTTTTGACACTTGAAAGGAACAATTTTGAGGATGTGACAGAAGATGGCAAATATCTGTTTAACTGCAAAAATATTTACACTCTGTATATGTCTGAGCTATTGTTAACATTTCCAATACCACAAGCTTTCAGTATGCAGAAATATACCCTGCATTTATTACGTTCGCCTGTATATGCTAACCGAGAACGCATTTATAAAATGAAAATAATTTACAGAAACCTATATTTATGAAATAAAAATCTATTACAAAGCGCATATAGAAAATGGGAGTCATAATGGCTGAAATTACTAAATCAATGGAGCATAAACTATGGAAAAAATAAACAAACCATCCACTTCTCCCCAGCTTCCCAGTGAATCCCCTACACTTGTCTATAACCAGTGTAGAAGGGTTTGATTGCCCCAGCCCAGAATGCATCAGTTTACCAGAGCACGAGTTGAAAAATCTTCCTTGTTGCAGAATAGTGAAGAAGACATTCCTGATTAACTGTTCTGCCTTGCCTGCCGCTCCTTAAATACAACTTCCATTTAAATACAAAGAGGGCCTGCAATGGAATTATACCCACCCAAAATGTGAACATCTTAAATCTTAACCAGGCTTTGCATGAAGAAACAAAAATGTTTGGTGACACAAATTAATCTTGTAATTTTCTAAGAGTAAAACTTCTTGTTTCAATAAACATAATACATGCAATATGGACCCTTAATAAGTAAGAGTTTAAAGAAAATGCATGAGAGGTATGGTTTTCTGCTGTTTCCTGAACAACAGCCAAACATTTTTCAAATCCATGCTCATGTCGGTGGTCAAGGGCAATCTGCAAACTCAGATGCCTAAACTAGGGGTTCCAGAAGAGGTTTTAGCATTCCAGTGCCTGCCACCAAACCTAGATCTTTTTAATTGCCCATTCTCAAACGTCTGCTGGTTTTATCTAGGAAACACAAAAGTTACCTAAATAAGACAACAGATCTGTGGAACAGCTATTAACATGATTAACAGTATCACCACTGGGAAGAGCCAGAAACACCAAACACTGCATTTACAGACTCGCAAATAAGATTCATGAAGTCATTCTACACCTCTTTAAAGGAAAACATTAAACTGAGAACTTCTTTCACACCTTCACACAACCATAGTGGGAGAATAGTTCTTACTCTGGACTAAAAGCACGATAGGTTGGTCAGCCCCTATTTCCAAACATCCCCCTATATCTTGAATCAAAGTACAGCGATGCTGAGTCTTGTCAGACTCTTCTCTTAGGCAGACATGTAATAGCATGTGTTGCATCTCCACATGCACTTAAAAAAAAACCCCAAACCACAATAGTAGCAGCTGCCACCACGAGGCTCACATGAGAAGGGCATGGGAAATAGGTAGTGATGCCATCGGATAATAAAGACGTCATTTAATACTTCTGGTCAAGTTCCAGATGAGAGAACTGTATATAGGAGGATTCAAATGATAACTATAGAGCAAACACTTTTTTTTTTTTTTTTTAATTCTCCAAGCTACATAACCATGACATTTCAATGCGGTTCCTGGTAGTTGCAGAAACTTACATTTAAAAGTGCTGCATTCCTTTTATGAGCTGCATCAGCTGCTTGAGTTTGCCATGTCTTTTTAGTCTTTTTGTCTCCTAGATAAGTCTCCATCTGCTGTAGCAGCTCTGATCTCTGAGACAGTCTACAAAGGAAAACATTTTGCTAAGTGGGTAGAACATTTTGCTCAGGAGCTAGAAAATAACCTTTTTACCTTACCCAGTTTGCTCAAAACTATGGGGCTAATTAAGCCGGCTGTAGGGTGGGTGTGCTGGGGGAGGCAAAAGGTACAGGCAGACACCACCTGCTGCGCTTGTATGAAGCTATAATGTTGTAACCAGCAGTCCTCATATGCTAAGGTGCTTAGAAGCACTGAATCTCCCAGAGCAGGAAAGACAAGGGTAGGTTGGGGTGACTTGATCAGTGCTACTCTTGCTCATTGGCAAGTACTAGCTGTTATAAGAAAAGCAGATTTTTCTGAATCATAACTGAATTTGCTTCACAATCTGAGTTTAGAGGGCAACAAAGAAGCAATTCTGTAATTGAGACATAGAGTGAGAGAATGTAATTACTTTCCCCAAATAGGAATTTAACAGTGACAGAAGGTTAACAATGGAGATCTTAAACCAGTACCACTATTGGAAGTCAAAAACCTCATCAATCTAAAAACCCTTAACAGCAATTGAAGATGGCAGTTCCAATAGTTCATGAAGGAAGAGTGCCATCTCCTGGAACTCCAACCTCTTGTTGAAATACCACCGTGCTCTGTACAGAGCTCAGATTCACTGCTCAGAGGATGGTCGTACGCAGTGAAGGAGGTCTCACAAGACCGCAGCACAAACTGTTGTGAGGCAGGCTGAAGTGCTGAAACAATTACTTACATCTCTTCGTGTCTTCTAGCAAGGTGAACCTCCTGAGCCAAATAGGATGACATTTTCAGTGGTTTGCCCCAGTTTTGTCTCTCTATTAAGGGAACACCAAAGGAAATTAAAATCTTCCGAAGACATACATGAACATATGCTTTTCATAATCAAACAATTCTGTGTTAAAAAGTTGCACACAATAGTTATATATCAGCTATCTACATAAAACCTGCTTATAAATTTTAATATTGACCACAAGACATCGTTACATTACATTTTGAATACATGCACGCTACTAATGTTCACAACATGTTTTAGGAAAATCTCACTGTCTTCTATTAATTTATGAGAGAACTAAAATTTGACTTTCAAGTTTCAGATTTCACATTAAGTTTTCGCAGGTTTCAGATGCTTACAACCCCACATGCAAACTATGTGCTTTCATAATTTGTATACTACTGTTTACATCAGTGATTACTGGCTTTTGTCATGTTACATTGAATATGAAGTTATATGTGTGAATATCATTTACAATTGCCTCTCACAGATACAGTGCCCTGTTCATAGGAATCTCTGTTTTGAGTACAGGCATGATTCGACTAAATAACTTAAGCTACTAAACCAGTTTAATTTTTGAGTGCTTGAAAAATTAAGTGAAAACTTCTTAAGCTCAGCTCTTCAGTACTGTAACACAGTACATGATGAAATACAGTTTAAATTGTTTAGATCTTACTGGGGCTTTTTGAGATATGAAGGAAATCAACTCCCCACTGCATGCAAATCGAGATCCTACAGCACTTTCCAGAGAGGTGAAAGCGTCTACAGTCGAGTATTTTTCACCTCAGAGGTGACTGTACTGTTGTCACATCGAGTAAAACTAAAGACAATAAAAGAACCTTTCACATGTTCGCAGTGCTGAAAGGCAGGAGAACCAGAAGATCTCATCAAGATATGAGAACTTTAGGAAAGGGCTTCTTTCTGTCACGAGATTAACTTTGAAGCAACTTATTCACGTGTGCGCTCTGACCCCAGCAGAGCCCATTTTCCCGGGATGCATGCTTCGCCACACTCGGAAATACATTTCCACGCAACTGGCCTATCACTAGCGCTTCCCCTTCGTTTAACAAGGAGCACGTTCCCTACGGGATCCTTCCCTCAGCCAGGGAACTCCACGCAGTTCCGAAGACCAGGCGAAACCTCCGCTCATCGGGCAACGCCTTTACCGGCAACGGGAGGAACTAAAGCGCGGGGCGCACAAGCGCAGTCCCCGCTCCTCCCGGGGAGCCCGGCTTACGAACAGTGGCAACAGCGGCAACAAGCAAGCACTCGGGGCAGGCGCTCCGCACGCAGCTTCCCCGGGCGGCTGCCAAGGGGCGAGGCC